CTCAACCCAATCAGTAGGTACATGTACATGTATACGGAGTGGCCGTTAATGATCAAGGGCAGTGTTGCAGTATTTACACGCTCAACCCGATCAATTCAGGCAGTGGTCGTCAGTGATCAAGGGTAGTGTTAGGGCATAGCTCGCTCAACCCAATTATGTAGATAAAGGTCCGTGTAGTGTTGCAGCATAGCACGCATAGCACGCCGTTAATCTCGGATAACGCAAACCGCACCAAAAAGGAGCAGGGCAGCTGGCCAAGCCACGCTCCACGGCCAGACCCATACAGCAGAACACGGCAGGCCACATTGAGAACAAAGGGCTGCCTGTAAGCCACGCTCCACGGCCAGACCCATACAGCAGAACACGGCAGGCCACATTGAGAACAAAGGGCTGCCTGTAAGCCACGCTCCACGGCCAGACCCATACAGCAGAACACGGCAAGCCACATTGAGAACAAAGGGCTGCCTGTAAGCCCCGTTCAACGGCCATATACAGCACACTACAACGATAGGTCACACCCAAACCAATAGATAATGCACAGAAAAAAGGGCAGAAGAGAACAACAAAAATACAAAATACGAAAATAACAACTCTTAGCAATAGATAAGAAATCGCTCTTTATTGTTAGTCAGGGATCAAGTAAATTTACAAACGAGAAAGGTTAAGAGCTCGAAATTCTGAAAATGCCATATACGATAGGCGCTGGGAAAAGAGGGACGTACATGATATGGCAGCGGGACCGCAGTGCATTGTGGAAGGTCAAGGGGCAGTATGCACGATCAAATCTTTTCAGCGAATTGTAATAGGCACATGGGAAATTTGCATATGTAGCCCGGCCAGGGTATGTGAGCGCAAGAGACCGTGCTAATCTGCACATATATCTGAACTTGGTAAATTAAAATTTGCGGTTTTTCTATAGAATTTGAAAGTAATTGGACTTGGATTAAGTGCCAGAAAATATGACAGGAAGATAGTAGTTGTATGCATGCGAATTCGTATACACTATAAATCGTAAAAACTAATTAAAAAAATCATTCAATGAGATCAATCAGTGTGACGTCGTGATGACGTCACTTCAGAAATGCAATCATGGTTATAATCGTACATCATGGTGATGTCATCATGATGTCAAGATTTTCCACCAAATGAATATCTAACAGACCTGCTGGAGGTCTAGCAAAAAGAATTAAAAAAACTTCCTTTGTTCAGGAGATATGTCAAAAAGAATGTCAAATAAATAGCCAAAAATTAGGTGGTAACGTCATCATGACGTAACCCAGATTTTTACATTTAATGCATTTGGATTTGTTTTTGTGCAAAATTTCAACCCACTGGGACAAACGGTTCCAGAGATACAAGCCCCAAAAGAAGTAAACTTTGTGGGTTTGTCACGTGACAAGTGATGACGTCATCATGACGGATATCTTCTAGGACCAGCCATGGATGGTGATCTAAGTATATGCAAAATTTGAGGGCAATCACTCTTACTAAAGTGCCAAAGTGTTAATTCGGAAACATTAATGAAAGGAGAAACACCGAAAATCCAGTTGTTAAAAATTGGATATATTCTTAATTTATGATGTCACTATTCCGTGGGATACTTCATTTTTTAAAATAAGGTTTCAGGACCTAAAACATGTCTCTCTTAATCTTATTAACACCAACTTGTGTACTTTGGAGAAGTTCTTTATACGCTGAAACATCCGGTCTTCTGACACTGGTCATGTTTTGACATAGTAAAAATCACCCTAACCCCCATCTTTCCACCAGGTGCATTGACGTGTATAAATGTTCAAACTTTTTGCAACAATCATTGCATTTTTAAAACTCCTAGAAAATGTTGTGCAGCACTATTTTCTGTTGTACCCAGCCAATAGTATTGGGTAGTCACGCATTTTTCGCCCTCTTAATCTCCAAAAAAAAACCGCTGCATACCGTCTGTGACATTGTTCATTGTTAGAACTAAAGTAAGGGAAAGGCATTTTGAGGGGTTTCTGTTCCTGTCTCTTGAAAAGTGTCCTATACTTCACCATCCCGAGTCAGAGAACGAAAACGATAGCTACGTCGGCAATGTAGCCGAAGTAGCTAAAAAGAATCCATATTTTGGCTGGATGAGTTACAATAGGTTTGGCCAATTTTTGAAAACGTAAAACTTGGAATTGCTGTAGGAGCTGGCGTCATACTGTTTGTGTGGTTTACAGGCCCCCTTCCAGATTGTTGCTGAACAATGCATATTCCAGCCCTGCCACTGAGGCACTTTTTGTCATGTCGTGAAAACAAAGATATATTGAGGAGGAATAATTTGTCAAATATTTTGTTTACAATTCCCACAAGAAAGAAACATTTTGCTGCGAAATGAGGTAATTTTCCTTCCTAGAGTACTGCCAAACGTGATTTTATACTAATAATTTAAACTTCAACTTATTGCAAGGGAATTAAACACCGAAAGGCCAGATTCGACATATGGGCAGAGTATAAATCCGTGAGCTGATGATGAGATATTCTCAAGGGAAGTCTATTTTCCGTTCTTCTATTTAGCCCGTTTTTAATTTGACTTTTAAAACCTTGAAAAGCATACTGCAGCGAGAGGGTCTATAAGAGATGTAGAGGAAAGGTCTATAAACTGACAAACCATCTTGTGAGGGGGCCTGTATGGTTGTCCAACACAAAAAAGGTGCCTTTAATACGTCCAGGAAATTTCACCTTATTTTAAAGCTAAGTTTCTTTCAGTGAAACTATAGTGCAAGTCTGTCCCTATTGAACTGGCCTTTAAATATCACAGTGAAAAAATAGGGCAGGCTGCCATGGAAAATTCAAGAAAGATTGTGCAAAGGGCTAAGGGTAGTGTAGAAAAGGAAGCCACATCAAACTTACAGCCCTCGGAGGTTTGACAGGGAAGCAAAAGTGCTGGAAGGAATGTAATTGACTTTCACATTCTGTATCACACTGTCAAATAAAACGAACAATAACAGGTTTTAGATATTCTCCAAATTTACAAAATAGGTTTACATCCTCTTTACATGACATACAGCATAGAGGTTCTTTGTTCGGAAAGTTCAGCAAGCATTACTTAATCAAGCAGTGTTATCTAAATTTCAAAATGTGTCAAATTGTTATCTTATTCGTTCTTTAAAGAAATTGTAAGACATGATTTGATAATCAGGTAAACTGAATTGTGACAATCAAGACAACCATTTTTTCCCGTCAAGTTTCTTATTTGATTTTGCTGTAGAGTTATTCGTTTCACCCGGAATTTGAATGACCCGTAAGAACATCGTTGAATGAATACTTGGTTAACTTACTTATTCGCCAAGTAAGTTAGCAAAAATATACGGCAAGATACTGTGCAAGACTTGAATAAATCCAAATTTAATACAGGTTTTCAAGGGCAGTTTAAACGGTTTGCCACCAAATTGATGACTTCAAAAGTAAATCTCCCCGTAGAACGATAAATATGCTTTTGGAATTAGTATTACCCATGCGTGCCATTTTCTATTGACATTTTGCAATTTTTAAAAAAAATATCCCTTTTTAAAAGAGTTTGCTACAGTTCTTCAAAGGTTTGCATTCTTCTTCCTTTTAGACCACAGGACCCAAGCAGTTCTGTGCTTGTTGCATTACACCACAATCTCTATTTACTTTCTCGTTGTAAAGCTTGCCAGAATCGCTTGGAAACCGGTGGATGTAATTGTTTTTATTCACCCAGGCCCAATGCGTATGCGATAATTCCCAATGATGACGTGATCACACCGATAATGAAAAGACATTTAGTATTTCAAAATGTGTAAACCTAATTCCGACAGATATAATCTTGAATCTTTAAATTCCCCATCAAATGATACAGTAAATATCGGCGCATATTTTCTGATACAGGTATCCAGCTTAAAATGTAGAAAGTGCTATTTTCTTATTTAATTTTTGAAAGAATAAAATATTGCAATTTAGAACATTATGAATAATTAGGAAGCTAGTGATTCGATAAAAATTAGCATCTACTCCTGCTTCAACGAGTTGAGTGATCTATTTGTTTTGATAATTTGAAGATGTCTGGAAAGTGCTGCACTAATAGGTACCTCAGCCGAAAAAGCGTTTATTAAATGATCCATATAAGAGTTTCATGAAAACAGACTCACAGGTATTCAAGACTGACGAGGTCTCTGAAGGCATTTGACGCTATGGAATTGATGGCAGTGTTGTTTATGTTTCTGTAAATGGAAGGAAGAGCGTAGATGAAACGTGATCAATTAATTTCCTGGTAACACGATAAAGTTATTCTTTTGGAATTAGCACTGCATGCTTTTGGAATTAGAATTGAAACAAAATTTGGTGGGGTCATGCAAAACAAGTGCGCTCTCTGTCGGCAGTCCAAAAAGCGAAACTGTATTTTGAATGGATGTATGGTTACGAACCTTGCCACAATTGCTTTAAAAAACATAAGTGCTATGGCTTTTATTCACTTGGTGCATGTGGAACGATCCTCCTGATGACGTCATCACACCGGTAGTTAAAATGAAAAGACATGTAATATTTCAAAAGGGCCAAACGTAACCCTGACAGATATAATCTTGAATTATCCATCAAATGCTACAGTAAAAAGTTTCTGCACGTATCAAGCTGATAATGATAAACGTATCATTAGTTTGATTGTATTTTGGACGAAATGAAAAATTATACTAGTGACAATATGGTAAATGGTCAGGTTTGCATGCAGATGATTTCCCCATCGATCTGTTTAGTCTGAAAAGTGCTGTCCTAACAGGTACTTCAACCAAACAAGCATTTATTAAATGATCCTTGTAGACTTTCATTAGACCAGACTCACAGGTATTCAAGACTGGAGAGGTCTCTGAAGGCACCTGACTCTATGGAATCGATGACAACGTTTCTTATGTGCCTGTAAATGGAAGGAGAAACATCGATTAATTAACACCCAACATTAACACCTTTTTTTCATACTGAACCATTTTCGGTCGACTGAAACGGTGTCAGTTAATGTGTTAACCAACCAAGTGAAATGCATTCTTGTTGAAATTTTGTTTTGGTTTGTAATTACATTCACAGGTGTCATTTTGTAATACATGTCGGTTGGTGATACGGTATCGGTTGATTTATGACACTTTATTGATAGGTAACAGGTGATCCAGAAACTCTAGAGGCCGGTTATCATTTCCAAAAAGCTGCATGGACACAATTTTGTTAAAAGGCAAAAAGTGATTAGGACCTAGATACCAGCAATCCATGTTTGTGTTTCTTAAGAAAGGGCATGACGCCTATCCATGTTAGGTTAATGGAGTGGAGTTAGGCCTTCACCATGAATTTTTACCAGACTCTTTACGTATTTTTTCCGTAAAAACTGCTGCCGTGAATCAGAGTTTATCAAAGGCAAAATACCATTTGCCATCAGCATCCGCATGGACTACTGAGTACACTGAAGGGTTAAGATTCAGTGCAGGAGTCTTTAAATAAACTCCCAAACAAAGCGTGAATGTCAGTTATACTGCATGAAGTATACACTAGCATATAAAAACAAGTAAGAAAAGTAATCACTTCCCCAATTATATCCAGAACCGACTTCCAGGAAATTTGGCATGGATTGAAACTCACGATGTACAGACAAATAATAAAATGCAATATGTCATTAGCAATATTTATTTCGAAAAAAGACGAACGGCCTACGGTGCACAAAATGCTGTAAACTTAACATGGGGGCTCCTAAACACAAACTGGATTAGTGCGATCAACTTGAGCACGTAGCCTGTCATTGTTACTTGCTCAGCTGTTATAATTAAAAGGAAGCCATAAGACACGTAGAACGTGAGAAGACAAACATAAGCTTGGCTTGAATGTATATGTGTGTGCGAATTTGTGCGTAAACTAGCCGTAAACGACGTCACACTTTTGCAAAATCAACCCGTGATAGTCGGAAAATTGCCCAAACTTTGATGATACAGAAAGAAAAAAATCTTGATTACCAGGGCAGCAAACAATTGGGTATCAAACCGAAGTTGCATACCTTCTGTGAATAATAACAAGTTTAATTTTTCTATTTTTTTTGCAAAACAGTCAGATGCACTTGATAAGACGCAAAGTTTGCTCTCTAATAAATGGTAAAAAAGTCATCAAAAAAGCCAAAATTTGACTTTTGCTATTGATTTTTACAAGAGTCATTCACTGGCGGACTGACTGCGAAGAAAATAACAGAGTTTTGCAATGCAAATGGAGCATGACGACAAAAATCCGGAACTATGGCAAACTTACAGCTGCTGGAGCCTATGGAGTCCTTTGAAGGCTTCAGACTGAATAGAGTGTATGCGGGAGTTTTTAATGTATCTGCCAAACAAAAAGGGAGACTTCAAAATAGAGTACATTATAACATTTATATCACTTCTTAAGCGCCCTTTCTATTAGAAGTCCGATAGTGCTATACAAATTAAACTGACATCAAGAAATAAAGTTAAATAGTGATAACAAAACTTTAAAAAACTACAAAGAGACAATATGAATGTAAAGTTATAAAATTCTGACCATAATCAAAGAGCAATTGAAGTTATTCCGAGGGTATATAAATATATAAATAAAATGAAATAAAATAGTTAATTAAAAAATTTATTAAAATTGTACGTCTTGATTGCACACTAGAACTCATTCTCGTTTGTAATACCCTTCAACTGATGTGGCAAAGAGTTACACAACGTCGGTCTGGCAATTGCAAATGGCCAGTAAGAGACTTTACTGTACGATCGAGGAACCTGAAGACTCAAAGTATCCTGACCACCCAAGCCCGCACGGCAGGGTCTCACAATCAAGTCAGTCGAGTAAGTTGGTTCTCTGTTCTGGAACACATTGAAAACCTAAAGCAAGATCTTAAAATCCACCTGTGCACAAACAAAAAGCCAATGCAAATCTTATAGTGATTGTGAAATCTAAAACATCTGCAGTTGAAAGCTGGAGTTTTAGGCAAACCTTTACATCTTATTTGTCAGGGGAAACCAACGCGTGTCTATTCAAGGAACCCTGTCAAAACATTCAAAATTAACCATGGGGTTCCTCAGGGATCATGTTTAGTACCACTTTTATTTACTCTATATGGTTCTAGATTATTTGACATCATTGAGCATCATCTGCCTAATATTCATTGTTATGCTGATAACACACAGCTGTATCTGTCTTTTAAACCAGACGATGATGTTTCCTGTCAGATTGCTGTAGCTGCGATGGAAAGTTGCATCCGGGACATCAGACAGTGGAAGTTCCATGATAGGTTAATAATTAATGATACTAAGAGTGAGCTCCTGATCATTGGTACTAGACAACAGCTGCAAAAAGATTGCTAACATCACTGTGGGAGAATCTGATGTCTATCCATCCACATATGTCAGAAATTTGGGATCATGGTTTGACTCCAAACTTAAAATGAATACTCATATAGACAAGGTTTGTTCAGCTGCTGTCAATTGATTCCCTTTGTACACTAGTTCATGCATTTGTGACGAGCTGTCTGGACTATTGTAACAGTTTATTGTATGGGTTGCCAGTAGGACAAATAGCAAAACTCCAAAGGGTTCAGAATGCAGCGGCCTCGTTTGTTCCAAACTCACGGAGGTTTAAACATATAACTCTTGTATTATGTTAACTCCACTGGTCTTTTCTCCTTGTTTAATTCCTAGGGTCACCGTGTCAGGTAGTTAGAGCGGAAATTATGTAGGTAGGGTTTGAGGCGTCTGTCCCCTGGAAAGGTCGAGACATCACCGATGTCGACGGGGTTTAGGCTTATTTAGTTAGTTACCCAGTTGACGGGACAGACGTATCCCCTTCCTCCGGTTTGGGCACTGGCATGGTGGCCTGTTTTTCTCGCTACTACTATTATATAATTTGCTTTGGTTTTAAATAGTTTTTGTGTGCTTGGATTTTTAAATTGTTTTTTGTGTACTTCGTTGTAATTGAGTTTTTAGTGTAATGCGCCTTTGATCACTTCGGTGGAAAGGGTGCGCTATAAATTCTAAATTATTATTATTATCAATAAACCTGACGTTCTTTTGCAATCCCAGAATCAACCAAGCAGCATTAATCTGTAAACGCTGTAACTGGTCAAATTGATACCGGTAATGATTTGAGACATACCTTACATTACCAAGTTGATATAGCTCAGGTGAGATGTAATCAGTGAATAAACCAAACACTCGGTAGCTCCTTGATTTAGGTATTTTTGAATTCGACGCAAAGTATGTATACTTTAATGCACCTCTTGCAAACAAATCTTGCTGACCTCGGTCAGCTTTTCTACGAAGGCTCTTCTGTTACGATGCTCGTTCCAATGCAGATCTAGCTCCGAATTCTTGCCGTTTCTAACCCATTGCACATGCATAAATGTGCGTATATACACCCTGATTTAGGAAACTGACGGTAGTGCCTCGAATGAATATTACTTGACGTGCATTTGGGAACTAGGAAAAAGGCCACGACATTCACCCATCTGATTATAACAAACGCCCTAACTTTCCTCTTTAACGCAGAGCCAAAACCAAAAACAACGTTGTGCTTAAATCATGTGGCGAGAACACGATAACTAATTATTTCTGATGCTGTCGGTACAATAATTCGCCCAGTGTGCACACGGGTCACCTGACCCTGATTTGCGCACATGTTCCAAAGCAAAAACAAAACGTAGGGGTTCAAGGCCCCAAGGTTCCTCCCCCTTGTTGGGTGCAAAACTGTTCAGTCAGTTGGTAGAAAAAAATAAATTAATAACCAAATTGGAAATCACGGGGAACTTACAGCCGGTTCAAATCGGTGAGTCCACTGAAAGCACGGGACGCAATGGAATGGATGCTAACGCCTTCTAAAACACTGAAAAAAATAAGTGTTACAAAATTGAAATATACTGGAAAATGTATGGGCCTTTGCAGGTATTTTAAACTGGATGAATATTATGACTGCAAAGAAACCACTCGATGCCACTGGTGGATGGGAAGACATCGCCGACCAACACAAACGCACACCAAATTATGCATCAGAAAACCAAGAGAGGAAACAGACCTCCTTATAAGCTTATACTCACTCTGATTAGAAACTTTATTAGAGTTCGTACCCCAAATGCCAAAACGCTCTCCTGTGTCCTGGGGAGCCCCATGTTATGTCCACTTACGTAGGTTTCAATGTTAACCACCTACCGCAAGCTTTTGTCTCCGAAGGTAATAATATCTCTGTACCCGGCAATGACAAGTGCTGAGAAAACTGGTCAGGGATTGGCAGGCCAATCAAAAATCCTTTGCTTTAGTGTTGATAATTTTTGATCTCGTTTGGAGGATTCATAGCTGAGTGAAGTTGCGAAAGTGTTGGTTCCTGATTCTTTGTTTCCTGAACTTACAAATGACATGCTTACATAGTGTGTATAGGTTTACTTTGAAACTTATGTGTATGAAGGACTCTGATCATTTATGCATATGGTGCTTTGCAATAGTGTGTCGTACCATAGCTCCATGCCTAGATCCTGTGGAATAGCTTTGAAAATGTTTTGGTGGTACTGGTTGGTTTTTCGTGATGTAACTAATTATACATAGTCGCTAGGATGACGATTATCAACATGCACTTGGTTCCATATGTTCTTAGGAGCACATATTTCGTTCAAGAATTCAACATCCATGAGCCAGTAGGGCCTACATAATTTCTAAATTGACGAAAATGAAATTGAATCCACATCCAGTCTAACGAAATTCTCTTGTCTAATTTTAGTTTTCAAAAGCCGTCGTGGGGGCCCCAGGGGGCTTTAGCCTACCATCCCTGGATTCCATTGTGTTTTTTATTTGTGAAAAAAGGGACATTAATACACTTTAATCTAAAACTGCTGGCTCTGACATAGTCTTAAATGTTATCCCCTTGCTCCGTGGCTGCGGGGCAGTGAGAGGGGGTCGATGTGGGGAGGCTTTGGCATCATAAGCTATTTTGGGTGTAAATTCCAGTCCCCCCCTTCCTGGCTGCGCCAATGAAGGCCTGCGAATCGATCGCTTCCTGCCAATCAATTGCTACCTCCTTTTCCCAGAGGAAATGTAAGATTCAAGTCCTGTTTGGCCTCAAAGCCTCTTTGCGACCTTTCTGGTCTTATCCAGTATTCAGCGTTGACAAATTCTCAACTTCAATACTTTCCTTTCTTGTTAATCACTTATTCCAACTGAATTGTTAAAGAAATGAAATATGTTTCCCTGTCACCAAGCTTTTGTTCCTCGTATAAGCGGTTCAAGGTAAGTTCCCATTTTTTTTTACCTTACATAAGATCTTATGTGTACAGGCAAAAGCCTGCAACTTACGTTCGTCATTTGTTGCTGTTGCTGACACCAACGGTGCCTTTGTGCCGGCCCCCTGGGAACTTATGACTTCTCTAATACGAAGAAGTTGAATCCATCTTATATTATTTGGCAAGGTGCATGCAACTTTTGAAAGGCATAGAAACGTTTGTTGTGGAGGCACGGTCCATCACCTGATTGGTGAAGTTGGATATTATAATACAGCAGTTTTTGCTCCAGTAAAATTGAAAGAGAACTTTTAATGCGTATGGAGCGAGTTGAATTAATTATTTATGACCAGCAAAATTGGAAATCACAATAAACTTACACAATCGGAAGATTGGTGACTTGCTTGAAGGCATCCGACTCAATGGAATGGATGCTGGAAAATTTAATGTAACTGCAAAATACAAAGGAGGAATTACAAATACTCTGCATAAATGCATTACTACTCGAGGAAGACATTGTCATCCAGAAACCGCATGAAACTTACAGCCGTTCCAGAATGCTGACTCCATTGAAGGCATTTGACCGAATAGAATGGATGTTAGCGCCGGTAATATCACTATAAAGCAAAAGGAATAGAAGGAACACACACTTTAAATATACCTCATAATATTGATGCTGATATTGGTAAGCTCGGGGGGGAAAATATAGCTGCAACGAAACCACTTGATGTCCCTGGCGTAACAGCGGGGCGCCCCGGACCTACCCAAACACTCCCCGATTGTCACCAAATTGTTATCCATGAAAACGTTCCAAATAATCAAATAACAGTCATGCTACTACCAGCTTCTGTACCAGGCACGAAATGGGACAGGGGCACCCCCCCCACAAGTCCAATCCCTATACACACTCCAGCCTATTGTCACTTAACACATCCCCCCCAGATGTCTGAAAGGAATTTTTGAGATACCAGTGTAACAATGACCAATACAAAGGCGGGGGGGGGTTCTCTCTGCCCCATAGTTTGCTTCATGTGCCAGCTTGAACTTTATCGAAGGCAACAATACATGTTTCTGAAGACGACTGTAAATGCATCGTAGTGGCCCATTTCTTTTCCATTGTACTATTTTCTATTATAAATGGGAAACGTGTACCATTCTTCATGTTAATTTCAGAAGGTGGTCTTGTCAGCCATAATAACAGGCTAATTTTCTGAATAACCAGTGTGACTTCCGCTCTCTTTTAGCATTGAGCCAATCAACAACGAGGGGACATAAAATCATCCAACTGAGGAACATTTGTCTTTGTGTTTAATTTATTCTCATTTTCAACTTTTGTTTATTTTCACTATTTCAAAGGTATTTGCTGCCTTTCGGGGCTCTATGCTAACGACAATTTGAGCAAAAATGTACTGTCAACCCAGGAAGTAAGCCTGAATCTAAGTCTGTACACAAAAAAATCCTGCAAAAATCCTGTTTTTGATTTTGCATCACTAAATCTTCTTTTCTTTGCTGATTCATTGTTGTTCATGTGCATCGCAATACGCATCAATCCCTTTCTCAGAAATGTTTTCAGTGGCAAATCTCTGGCTGCGCAAGTTTAATACAACACCTCTTCACTGAGCCTTGCCTTCCCCGGATGACATCAAAGTAACAGCGCTCTTAAGCGTCTAGGAAAGTATGGACAATATTAAGTGTTTAAAATAGTGCTCGTTTAAATAAGAGCGTAAAAGAGTTGTTCATACGTGGAAATAGAGAAGAAAGTTGCAGAGAAAATTGCGTCTGAGTAAGATTCATTTTGTCTTAAATTAATGGAGAAAACCTTCCATTATAATTCTGGTAAACTATTAGAACATCAATGCCATCACCGTAGAGGATTCTTCCTTTTGTGGAAATTGTAATTGTGGTCTGACCATCGTGATAACTTGTTAGCATACTAGAAAAAATGCACACTGTTGGCAGCACAAGTTACAATTTCCGGTGGTCTCTTCGATGGCAAAATCGAAAACTATACAGAAAACTTACAACCATTTGATATTGGTGAGTCCGCTGAAGGCATTCGACCAAATGGAATGGATGTTAACGTGGGTCATATCACTGTAAAACAAAAGGAGTAAAGAGCCAGACACTTACCATGTGCTAATAGATACGCATGTTATAACCTTTAAGGGGGGAAAGTAATAAATGCCAAAAAATCACTGACAGAAAAGTGGGGAACACTCGATCTGTATCCAAAACATCCCAAGAGGTAGGGAGAAAAAAACTTCCAATATCTTCAGTCAAACAGACAGACAAACCTTTGAAAAATCGTCGTTAACCATACTCATCAAAAGGCAGGTGTTAGGCCTAATGCAAGCAAATAGGAAACTTTTGTGAATTCCCAGCACGCATATTTGATCTGACGCCAGACAACCACAATTAAGTTTCCTTTCCTGCCATACATGAACCGGCCTTTAGGCAATGTTTTTTCAAATGCAATGCTTCTCAAATATCTATGAAGATAATACGTCAGAGCAGTGGAGACGTAAAGAATTGTTGAATATACTTGCTGTCAAATTCCACGCATGCGCAAGTGGAAGTGTTGACCCGTGCCACTATTTAAATGAACACAATCTAAAGTGCGCTCTGCAAAAATTACGTCATGCATTTGCCCATGCCAGCTCTCTGCAAAAAGGGCGTTGTCGTTGGGTGACCCGCGAACGGGAAAGGTGTGGATACATGTACGTGTAGCTTGTCCCTTGTCTTCTCCGTTGTGCTTATTTTTTTAGCCTAGTTTCTATAATGGTCGTAGCAAACGCCGACGGCACGCAAGACGTCAAAACGCAGACAGTCCCCGAAACAAATGCTGCGTGACGTCGTTCCACCAAATATTCGAATATGGCTGAAAACTCAGACAGCCAGATGGCTTGCATAATAAAAATATTGAAACTTGCAGAGTTCCCTATGAAATGAAATCAAAAACTGCAACAAACTTACAGCAGATCAAGATTGGTGAGACCGCTGAAGGAATTCGACCTAATTGAATGGATGCTAACATGGGCCATAACACTGTGAAAAAAAGATACATGGATCGTGATCTACAATGCATATGCTGATATCTTAACGGAGAGAAAAGTGATAGCTGGAAAGGAACCACTTGATTTAAGTGGCGGATAGAGTGGCGCGCCTCGACCTACCCAGACATATCCCAAGCATTCTTATAACATCAGGAACCAAAAACGACTTCCAGATATGTTCAGACTGACAAAAAGCCGAGTAATATAATGGTGTTAACGTGGACCTAACACAAATCTGGAGTTAAGACCAACTAACAGAATCTGGAGGTTTGCCGCTCCCTTGAAGGCTTCAGACTCGATGGAATGGATGCTGGAATCCCCAATGTAACTGCCAAAGAAGAATACCAAACACAGTGCATAACGTACAGAATTATTACTGTTGAAAATAATTGCACAAGAAAAGTAATCACTCGCAGGCCCGTGGGCTTAAATCCCGTGGTATTGGAGATATATTTTTCCCCACCTTGAGAGTGGTTATTGAATCCCCCCCCCACAGGGTGAAAAAATAAGACAGATTTATGAGGATTTTTTGCAAACTTCCAAACAACCATTACCACGAGAAAAAGGGGAAAAGAAAAACATGAGCTAACCCAAACCAACTCGGACCCAAAACTTACTCGGACCCTTGCCCACTGGGACACACCCCTACCAACTCAACCCCCCTTTATGACTTGGATCCACCGAGACTCTTTGACCATTTGTCGTTGGCACTAGATAAAAAGAAATGAAAGTGGTTCGCCCCAGTGGATTGGGACGCAGGGCCTGCTTAAGGATCCCACAGTTTTCTGGCTTTTATAGACATTCTGTTGTGCAATTGAAGCATTTTCTGCCCACTTTAACCATTCTTTTGAGCAAAGGATAATAATTGTAAGACATGATCATGTATCAAAACGTACGTAGTGCCCTCTTAAATTGGTCAAACTCTGGATATGTCCTTTTAAAAATCCAAAGTTAGCGTACCCACCTACTAATTGCAATAAATAGAAATATGATTTATTGGAAAGTTATCACTTCGAAGAAATTATTCAAGCCGATTTCCTGAAATATGTTCAAGTGAACTGTGCACACGCTGAATAGTCTACTGATATCTGTTATTGAATTTCGGCCTAATGCTTATGACATTATTTTTGGGAAGGCTCAAAAGATATATTATTTGCCAAACATTTTCTAATTTTTCGTTCAATACATACTTAATTCAATTTTGTTTCGAAATGTCATGATCTTTCATTTCTCATGTTTAATTCCGCTTCGATTTGTAGTTTATTGAACAAGTTTATAATACTTCTGTGGAGTCCTTTTGCATTTCTGCAATTACCCAAAGGCATAATAGATTTGATGTTCCTCTTGTAATTATTAAAGTTTCATTCGAATTCGTTTCACGTCTGTATACAATCCTTGGCATATAGTACGCCAGTTTTACTGATAAAAAATGACGGTTGTGGCAAGCATTTAAATAATTCTAAACACAAGTGGTTAGTTAAGAAGATGTTGCTGTTCCAAACTGATTCTGGTAGGGGTATTAAAGTAAAATCTTTCCCAGGTGGGCCCGAGTTGGTATGAGTTCGAGTTGACTCGAAACTGTTGTGAAGACCATCAGGCATCAGCCATTAACAGGCGGATACAAAAATTCTCACTCCATTACAGGATCTGCCAAAAAAATTGCCGGGGCCATGAAGCCCGTAAGAGTGACCACCACTCTTACGGGCTTCATGGCCCGGTGGGGGGGGGGGGGTCAGTGGCCCAGTGGCTCCCGCTTCGGCTGCCAGTGTTCAAGGGTTTGCAAGCATATCATTGAGATTTTTTTTTTGTTTTCGGTTTACTTTAACTCGTGAGAGATTTGACGAAGTAATCATCCCACTGACATCCCAAAATATGCAGCGATTAAACGATCCTCTAAGTAAACAGAATGGGCCCTCCTACTGTAACAGCAATGCTTTATGGACCGGCATGTTAATGAAAATTACACCGATGTTTTATGAATAGAAACAAATCATGACTCAGATAGCTAGCAAAGCAAACTATGGTATTCTCTATAACGTCAGAACTGATAACCATTGCAAACTTACAGATTGAAGAGACTGGGGAGTCCGCTGAAAGCATCCGACTTGATAGAACCTAAATCAACGTTCATAAATCTCCTATTTGAAAGAAGAGAGAAAAATCTGTGAAGCACCTGCACATCGTTGCATTGCCCACCCGAATCAAGCTTGTTTTTTTACAAGCTCTCGGGTGAACGCTCAGTGTGCAAACTGAGCATTCAGTGTTTATAATATACGTTGGATAAGAAAACACCCCAAATTAAAAAAGTATTGAAACATGAAAAAAATCGTGGAAATAAGAATAAGTACTTGTTTGCGAGTATCCTTGGTTAAGCTGTTCGTCATTCGAGCCGCTTATTTAAACGCTTTATCTGGCAGAAGCTCTATACAAAACATACAGCATGCCAGCAAATACAACACTCGATTAACGGTCAGTTCACACGCGTCGATTAAAGTCTAAATTCCATTCATAGTTGAGTCATTAATAAATATGAGTAAAAAAGAATTATATGTCTTAAAATAAGAGAGGACTAACCTGTGGAAATCGTACTTTTTGTACGAACCACGGAACCAGCCGCCACAATGGATCATACCATTATTATATAGGGGTGATTTTGAATTCACCAAGTTTTCCCGTTTCCTTAAATAAAATTCAACTTCACACTGATCCAATCTATTTTCTACTTACGCCTAACACTCGAGTTTCTATAATTTCAGTTCACAGTGCTTTTGGTGAAAGAATGTCGGTATTTTTAGCTGCTTTTAGTTTTATCCGCTCATTAATGGAAACTCCCGCAACATCTACAAACACTACATAAGAAGATCGGCGCCTGTTAAGGATGTGTTGTGCGAAGTGAAATTAACTCAAATACGATGGTCGGCCGACCGTGCAAAAAAAAGAGAACAAAATTTTCGTTTCTCGAAAACTACAGCATTCTGGGTGGAAATATTTTACAGACTGATTGAGACTGTTCTGTACTTTCTTTCAAGTAAGACATTTCAGGATTATACGGTAGTCCAATTTTCGGAATTTTACCAATGGTGTGACCACCTGTAACAGTGGCGTAACTATGAGGACGGGGGAACGTGCCCTCAGCGAATGCCCGTGCATCCGGGTGCCTCCCCCTCCCTCACTTGAAATCCATGAACAACCTCTGCTGCAGCTCACTGTCTTGGGGTGCCCCCTTGAAACAAAATGTGTGCACCCCCGGATGGCCCCCGGACACAATAGTCCAAGTTACTTCAGTGGTGCAGTACTAGAAAGCATACTTCTGAAACTAATGAAATTATACTTACAGTACACTTAGCTCCCAAAAGTCTTCGAAAGTGCCGGGAGGTGGGTCAGATAAGTTGCTATTTTTTAATGTCCTGCAAACAAAAATGTACTGAAATCTGCCGATAATGGTGTATTAATACAGTCCCATTCAACACTTTACCCCTTTCAAGAAAATTTGTGAGCTTGAGAGTTAGGTTTTGTGCTCGAGGTCAATCACGTCTTTTCATCCAACTTGCGTTGTATTTTTCGTCAATTGCTATATAGTTGCAGTGAACTTTGATCTTTCAGCCCAATTTTTGGGGCTTTGAAGTGTCTCCAGTATTGTGTTACAGGACTACTTTGCCAGTGCTAAGTGGAAATTAAAATCATATGGAAAATAAAAGTGTTGCTCCTTTTGGTTCAACGACGCTTAAACAAAATTTGTCGATCAAAACACAGCATGAGCATCCCATAAAATGTAATCTAAATCCCAAACAGCAGTATATCTTACAGGCTGTGTGCTGTTTTAGGGAGTCTCCGGATGGTTAGATGATTCCAGCCTTTGAAACAAACAAATCCATGAATGTTGCAGCTGCACGCATACGGGCAGGCTACATCCAAGCTTCCTACGCAGTTAAAAAAACCTGTTACCAGTCACCACTGTATGATCAGGGATATTTCGCTCCTTTTTATTTCTAGAGGAGACAAAATCCTCAAAACCCTCCTTAGCAAGTGAAAATCCCTAAAAGCGGGGAGGGTAACTTTTGAACACTCAAGGTGTCCTGTTCATGACTAATTCTTTTTAAATAGGCAATTTGCTTACAGAAATATTGTCCTGCTCCTCGTCCAGCAATGAAAAATAAATATTTCACAACGTGCACTTTTGACGTTGGCTGTAATTTTTTTCACGCCATTTACCCTCCTTTTATAATGACATTTCTCTGAGATAGTAGACTCTTGGATTCCCTCCCCTGGCTGTTGCCGGGAAAGATGGAGTTCCATTGTGTCGTTTATTTGGGTAAGTATAATGTCTGTCGTCAACTGAAAGCGCTTTGAAAGGAGAGGATTCCACAACAGAGCAAGGTTTTATCGTACCAACCCACATCTGTGTACAGGTAAATCACTCAAACAACACTCCGAGCACAAAGCCATTTGCGAGTTACACTTGAATAAAAACTGGTACACAAAGTTATCTGAAACGTAACATTTTTAATTCCTCAGACTAAAGATACTGTTTCTATACCTCGTGATTCGCGGAAATTTGCATAGTGACAATTATCGCTGGAATGGACTGGTTCCCTTGTGCCCTCTTATCCATTGGAAACATTATATTTTGTTTCAAGGCGTCTCTTATGTAACTAATCAAAACTTAAGCCGAGTCACGAGGTATAGCAGCAGTGTTTTAGTATGGAGAATTCAAATTGTTATGTTTACGTGAACTCAAAGAACCCAGTGCACCAGATTTTATTCAAATTTCCAAATTTAACTCACAAAAGGCTTATAGAGCACAACGGTCAAAACAGATTTGTCAGGTCTTAGTGCACACTCACACATTTTTTTAATGGAGTGTAGGCGAAGCTTAATCAGGTCAGTCATCAGTTTGTGGAGATCTCTACCAATACAGTGCTCAAAATTTGCGAAAAGTAATCCTAATGTTATTTCTTGTAATCGACAGAATTAGCATGTCTTTTCACATGTCACGCTTCAAATATAACCGTTGCCATATTCTGGCGGTTTCATTGACATTTCACCTAATTCCACTTATCCATCAAAAACAGTGGAACGGTTGAAAAAGAAAAAAGAGTGACGTCCCAACCGTGATAGTGATAGCAGAATCGAGACAATATTTACCACAATCTTGCTCGTCCTGTCCGCTAGAGCAGTCCTCTTGCCCATCACATCTAGCTTCTGGAGACACACACGACCCATCTTCGCAGTCGAAGAGACTACTATTGAATATCCCACATGATGGTTGATCTATGGTGAAATAATTTCCTAAACTGTTAACACTCAAACGATAACAAAACTACGTGTTTCAACCAGTATTTCCAGAAACTCAAGTAACCAATGCAGTAATTTCAAAATCAGAAGCAAACCTCAAATATATTTTGAAGCCTCACTTTCCTTTTAGATGACAATTAGCTTTCACTGTGAATCAAACTTAATCGGGGAAATACGGGCTTGTTCTCTGAGCATGGAAAATAGTAGTCAGGATTACAATCTACTACTAATGATCCGCAGACAAAATGAAGATATCTGCAGTGATACATGCATAAGGTCGATATAAGATCGTGAGAAATATGGACTGCAAACCGTGGGCGGCAAGGTTGAAAACAATGTCAACGATTGGCCTATTTACCAAACATAGTGGTGCTGCTTTCAAGCGCCAGGAAAAACCCAGAAAATTGCAGCCGTCCATTGGATGTCATTGACACAGCCACCTCTGATGAGTTGAAGATAATGCCGCGAACCATCGTTTCGCCGTGCAAACGGAACAAATGAGGGGCGTCTTTAAGGAAGGTACGACCTTCCAAATCCAAGAAGTCATACGACCTCTCTGTTCTGAAGTCCAGAATTTTGATTAATATTGTCCTACTTAAGGGTGATATTGCCTTAATTTGCCACTTGCAGTCGAGGTTTGATGGGTAGCTATCCGGATATCCTGGAGATGAAAACACAAAGCTGTCCATGTTTATGGTGCTCTCAGCGCAATCTGCAAAAAAAGTTGAAAATTGTGCACATTACGTGATATGCACAACAGCAACATATGAACTCATTTTATTGAAACACATTTTCCAGAATTTAACCTACACTTTTCTTTCTGTTAACGCTGAAGAGAAAAAAAACAGACAAACTGACTTAGTGAGAAGTAACAAAATTCACTTGGCTGAAAAAGAACGGTGTTGCCAAATCTAATTTTTCCCCTTTTTTGTTTGTCGCAGTTGTAATTCTTTGTATACCTGCGTATATAGCGTTTACTACACTTTTTGTTCCATGAAATTACGCTTAAGTTTACGACGGTGCAGACTAGGTTTTCAATGGCTCCATCGTGACTTCCAAAGAAGCCCAATCGGTTGAGATTTATCTTCTTGGATCATTCGTACACTTTCACACCCAAGTATATAAGATCAGAAAGGTTTTACTCCGATTGCCAATAAAACAGTTGGTATCAGTTTTGTTTTATTTTCGCTAATTGTGATAAGAAACATGCTTAGTGCTGTGGCTATCGTAAATCATTTTTGCCAATATTGCCGGAACAGCAAGGCGCAAGTTTTTTAGCAAATTCACCACAAAGATATAATGCTATTTTAAGGCATTCATTAAATGTTTTTTGTTTGCTTCACTTACCGACATTCTGACTTGGCGAGTCTAAAGCGCTAGCGAGGCAAAGCGTTGAGGCGATGCTAAGCAGCAGGGAAACTGATGCATGTCTCGGTGTCATTGTAGAAGTGATATGAAACCGATTCAACAATTTCTGAATGCCAAAAAAGAAATTGAAAAGAGAACCATTAACATAAAGCTTTGTTTTGTTATTTTTTTCTTTTTAATTTATTTTAATTTGTTTTGTATTAATGTTAATGTTAAATATTATTAATGTTTGTTTTATTTGTCGATTATTTTATTTGTTTACAGGTAGACTATAAAGTGCTTATAGTTACCAATATTTGAACAGAACATTGTAATCCACTGAAGTACCACCAACTCGCAGTGGTTTAATGCCCTATGACTCAGACATCAGACGGTATCAGGACAACAAACAGTCATAGTGCCTAAAAAATACATCAAGCATAGTTGCATATCGCCTTTCTGTCCAAAATTGAAGTTGGAAGCATTCATCGAAATTTTCAAAACGAAGCTTAATTTCAAAAAGTGATTGCTAGTTCTTGCCCACCGTTGACAATATTTGCATTAATGTTTAGTCCGTAATACCGCACACTAATTAAATAGTGCTTTGAGTAACCACTTTTGTTGGCTAAATCCTGCGATTTTAAGGAGTTCAGGAACATTTTGTTTCCAGTACCTAAGGACATATTTAGGACATTATTAATATATTTTGGCATTTCAATTCACCCTGGCGGATTACTACTTTGCTGTGGTTTGTTAATATTTCGCCTACATGTGTTATACTTATGTGTTTAACAATTTTAACAGAATCCGCCAGGACGAAATAGTAATCGTCCTGGGCAAAATAATTATCCGTCAGGGCGAGAAAATAATACCAACGGGCGAATCACTAATCGGCCACGGTGAATTATTTGGCCAAATGTTTTGTTTATAGTCATATATATCAAATGCGCATCCTCGGATTTGCATGTCATCGGGATTTGATACGTTCACTTTAAATGAAGAAATCACATCAGTATTAGACTCGTAGTTGATTTGATACCTTTGCACAGGGAGAAACCTTAACACTTTACTTTTATTGCAAGTATTACTGACTTTGGTCTTTTCTATTTGATTAAGCACGATCCTCAATGCGACGAAGTTATAGGTTTCCCCTGTGCGAGAGAGATTGTTGCGTTTCTGGCCTGCACTGTCTGGTATTTTGAGCAAAATCAATTAGATTTTTGGTTGAAAAACTGTTTAAAACGTCGTCTTGTACACGGAGCTGTAACGAGTCTCTAACCTTTTGTGACTTGAGTGGAGTCGAGTCAAATGGCAAACAAGTCTTGTCGAATCGATGCACGTATTTAGTGTGAGTCAGTCCGAGTCACAAATATATGAGCATAATACGATGAATAAACTTTACCTTTGGGTTACTAATTATAGTCATGTGGTCACACCACATCTCACTCTCGATGATAAGTTGTTTCGCAAAGACGTTTGATAGACCTATATTTTGGGGACTTGAATCTTAATAACTTTCTGATGTGGGACCTGAATCTGCTTGCACGAGGATACTTAAAGGATATTTCTACAAATTTATCGTAATTTAACGTCGATGAGGGATATTAATTAATTATAGTATACCTTGAGTGCTAAAAGGTCCTCTGGAATATTGTGTGACCCCAAGTGTTCGAAAACATTATGTGTGCAGTTTAAGCCTGTTTTCAATGTTGTATTAGTGTAATCATCCTAAACTCGATTCACATAATAATAATACATTCAGAAGGGTATAAATATTTTTTATTTATTTTTGAAAGGAAGAGCAAAGTCAAAATTTGTCACAGCTCATTTCAATCTATAAATAAATTTATCTCTGTAAGTTGAATTTAAAGCAAAAAAGGCTTATGTATATAAATTAGTGTCTTTACCGATCAAACTTCGTATCGTCGACCAAGGCATTGAAATTCAGGAACCGATTGGATAGTCTGGATCTGTAACATGAGATCTTAGTGCGAGACGACTGACCGTACGTTTTCTCGCTGGGCCAGAAAGGCTGCTGTGCTAGTGTAGGGATGTGAACTTTGTTCCACACGCAAGGTGATCAATTTTTCATGTGTCACAGGCATTTATAATTTAGCGACTGTGCTGACGTGTTCTTTTTAGGCTTCTTACTCCCTCTGGTGTCATATCCCTTTTTGAAACAAAGTTGGAACATTATGGTCACATCTTGAGTTCGTAATAGTGTCATTGATAGAATTATTATTCTATACTGTCCTTTGGTCATTGTTGTTCAACTAATTAAAAGTAATGCCGGTTATTGTAATTATTTGTCACGAATTATGGGGGTTGTAGTAAACTTGGACGACCAAGCACATGGTTTGTCCCGTTTTCATTCTCAATGGTCTTATCAAAGAAGGGTTAGAGAAACGCTGAAGTTTTTACTTAATTTCTGCCATTCAGGGGGTAAGTTAAGTTTCAATCAGGTCATGAGCTGTTGGTTGGTGTGATAACTGTGCATGTAATGTGTAACTATGGTTCTTGATGCGCAACTTTTGTGTGATGTCGTCGAAGCTTTTTGCAAAGTTGTGTGAGCGTGCCTTGTGCACTAGTGTACAGTACGTGCGCTGTGCCGACATTGTGCATGTACTGTACATGTATTACAATAATAGTGTTTATACGTCCGCAAAGTGTAAATCCGCATCGCGCTTTAATGGTTGATGCGCTGTCTCAAAGATTTATGCCTGACTTGTAAGGGTACTTTTGTTAGCTGTTTCGGCATTCTTGCTGAAACAGCTCTTGTTTTCGTCAAAGTTTGTTTTTTCTTTATTCCCCTTTTCTCCCCCTTTTCAGACTATTTCTTCAGCCAATCGACTTTGGTACCATAATAAATCCGATCGATGTTAAAAAATTATCCAAGAACGGTCCTAAAAGAAATTTGGCATGATGATGTCATCAATTTTGTTATTACTGATTTTTGAATATTTAATTTTTTTATATAGACTTTGCACATAGATTCGACGCACCATTTTCGTCACGTAGCAATCTTAGATCTTCATCAAAGTTACAAGGAGGAAATACCCTGAGGCTAAGAAGATACCAGAATAATAACGTCATGATGACGTCATCATTTTTGAATTTTGAATATTCAATTTTTCTCAATAGGTTTTCTACACGGTTTCCTACTAAGCAATATTATCAACTTTGATTAGTGAGAGTAGTCCTGATCTTCGGCTGTGGATTACAATGAGAACGAAAGAGAAATCGTAATTTTTCGTCTTCGTTTGATTACAAATATACCCAAGAGTCCAAATATAAATTAATATTTCATACCTTTTTTCAATATAAACACAAATCACGTGACGTGACTTTAAAGTTGCAGTTTTCTCCATAACCTGAGGACCTGCATAGCCAAAGATATTTTCTAGCAGGGTAAGATTTGGGTTCCTGGCCATTCATTTATTAAGGGTTTTGGAGGACTGCATATAGAACAACAAATGTCATTAAAATTTTATATGGTAGCACATTATTGTGTTTAATATTTATTTAAGTAAATGAATCTGTTTAAAACCCATGATAATTTGAATCAAATGTATTTCATTGACAAGACTTTTCTTGAGACAGAGTACTGGTTCATTTCTCTCCGTTATTGGTCGTTTCTGATGGGATTTAATACGGTCCTTGTATGAAGTTATCCAGCTAAACGGGAGAATTTCGAAATAAATTGGAAATCTGGAATCAGCAACTTCTTGTTTGTGTTTACACCTTCTTTCTCTTGACACGAGTGGAACCAACAAGCCACGGCCTCGTCACACCAGTATGGAATTCCATATCTGCCGTCGTGCGTCGCTGTCGTGCGTCGCCCGTGGTTTTTTTGTCACGACTGCGCAGTGGTATTTTTAACTTTGACCCTTGATCGTTTCACATTTACATGTCCTTGTTCGATTGATCCACCATGCTTGACTCTCATTTTAGCAATAGAACTAGAAGATGTACATGTATTCGTTTTTTCAGTTGCGCCAAACTCCAAT